AGGGCTGTGTGTGAGCGTACTCATTGCCTGCAAGAACGGAAAAGAACTGCCTGTTCACACGCATCACCGCTGCCCTTCACGCACAGTCTCCGCGGCCTCGTGTCTCGTTTTGGGCAGTCCGTGCAACGCACAGCCACGAGGCCGGCAGCGTGCGTGTGTTGATGGCAGCGGCAAACAGGAGGGGGAAGGGACGCCACCCATTGGGATGTGCGTAGCAAACGACCATTGAAACAAAAGTGAAAACAAAAAAGCAAAGGAGTACCCCTCAAAGCACAGGAGAGGAGTTGGCCCACAGAGACCACACGCAAACTCGGTGCACAAACACTCCGCGTCGCCCCGCCAGGGTGTGTGTGTGTGTGCGGTTGCCCCGCAGCAGTCACTCCCCAGCAGCACAGGCAACAGCAGCCGTCAGCAGCAGCAGCAGCGTGCCACGCACCCACACAGTGAGCGTGCCGCTGCCATCCGCGTTGCCTTTTGTGTGTTTCCCACCACTGGGGCTGCTGCTGGTCGTGGTTGTAGTGGCGCTTCCACCATCGCTGCCAGCGGGAGTGTCAGGAGTGGAGGTGCCGGATGGCTGTGCAGAGGCTGAGGGTGCTTGCGCCGCACCGTCTCCTGTGGCTTTTGATGAATCCGCAGCGCCAGTCGGTGATGTTAATGTTCCCTGACTCCCTGTGGGTCCCGCACTGCCCGACTGCCCAGCATCATTAGGAGCAGAGACTCCAGTACCTGCACTGCTGCCTGCCGAACTGACGCCTTGCTGAGTTTCCACAGAAGATGGCGTTGCTGCTGCTTGTGATGGCGATGGCGATGGTTGGGCCACCGGAGTGTGTTGTCCAGGCATTGCTCCAGTTACAGACTGATGGGGTGGTAGTACCATACACCTGCCTGAAGTACCAAGTAAATCGACACCAGTTCGAGTCGTAGTGACGGGTTGACCCTTCGACATCTCGGGAGATTTACTGTCACCATCCGTCGTACAGTCCATCGTGAACGTAGCATCATTACTGCTCTGCCCTTCTGTGGGTGAAGGAGAATTCTTCTCCAAGAAGGATAAACACCATGAATCGGCAAGAAGACAAATGGGGTCCCCGCCACTGCTGCCTGCACTGGCCGTCTCAGCAGTATGGGACCCATCATAATTCACCGCCTGCAAACACTCCGTCCAATCAGAAGAACCCTGGCCAGAAACACGCAAACGTACTTTTTTTTCATTGCTCGGACACAACACATCCACCTTCACATTGGACGTCGCCGCCCCGCACACGGAGGAGCAGCAGCCGCACAGCAGCGCAAGCACCGCCAGGGCATACACCGCACGGCGCCGCACTGTCGCCATCGCCATCCGTCGTGGTGTTGGTGGTTGTGGTGGTAGCAGAGTCGCTGCGAGCACTGGGCTGATCTATCAGGCATCGGGGGCGAAAAGCGAAAGGCAAAGGCAGTGACGAGTACAGCGGCGGAAGGGCAGAGAGAAGAAACAAAAAGGGCAGCAGCTCCCCGAGCTCACGGAGAGGGAAAACTCGGCCCGCACGGCACCACCGGAACAAAATAAATATAAATTCACACCCCAATTTATATCGTGTGGTTGTGGCCGGGTGGGTCCCCGCAAATGCGCAAAGAAAAGACGGCAGGAGAAGACCAGCGGGGTTGGGGAGGGTGCGGCAGTCCCGCAAAAGATTGAACACGTCGAGGAGGCCGCGCCCCAAAAGAAAAGGCATCGCGCCCACCAGCGCAGCGCACTGCTTTACAACTGCAGGCTCCTCCTCCTCGCCGGTGTCGCTGGGTCCCTGCGCGGGAAGGCGCGGCGTGTTGCAGGGGCTGCCGCAACCCGCCGCGCGTACCACAAACTGGTGCGGTGCGAGAAGAGAAATAAACAGACAATGGAAAGACACACACAAAAAGATGCAGACGCCTACAACAAACTGACGTCGCCGGCAGAGGCTGCGGAATGGGTGCGGTCAATCAAAGCAACAACACAAACAAACAGAGAAACACAAAACAAACCCCGTGAAGCGAAGCCGAAGGGTGAAGGCGTCCGCCGAGCAGTGGGACGACCAGCACACACACACTCCCTCCTTCTCCCCCTGCACAGCCCAATCCAGGAAGAGAAAGAGAGAAAGGTCGCCCACCGAAAGCAATGAAACAATCAAAATGATAAAAACAGTTACGGTGCTCCACCCACGCAGCCAAGCAGGACGGCAGCGGCGGTTCGTCAAAAGCAAAATATTTAAAAAAATCAACGAGCTGCACGAGTGGACGTGTATGCATGAGCACATTATTCGTGTGTGCCTCGTGGGGCGAGGCGAGGGCGGGAGTCCGTGCAGGAGGACACACACACAAAAAGAAGAAATAGCTGCGCACGACTCCCTCTGTGTGTGTGCGTCTCACGCTGCCACCATCGCAGCAGACCCCAACACAAAGAGAAGAAGCACGAGAGGAGAGGTGCAGTGCGAGGCCGCGGTGCTGCCGTCACTGCCGCCATGCGTCGCCTTCGTTGCATGACTGGTGGTGGCTGGCGGTGTTGTCGATCCTCCCGCTCTGTCAGCTGCCACAGTCGCTGTATTGCCTTCGCTGGCCGCCTCCACCGTTTTTGCCGCCCCCTCACTGCCAGAATCGTTTACATGTTGGTGTTCATCGTCTTGTTGTTGCGTGACAGTGTCAGGCAGTTGTGTGGCGCTGGAATCCGTCGTGGAGGACCCTTCAGGTTGAAGAACGACAGTACCACCACCACTCGCAGAGTGAGTTAATGGAGAGGGTTCAACGGTACTTTTAGCGGATGGCGCATGTGCGGCCTCTGACTGGGATTCCACCTGCGTGTGCCCCGGTGCACCGGCAACTGGGCGTGGA